GCCGAGTACACCCGGTACCCCTCCCCTCCCCCTCACATACAGACACACGCCGAGTACACCCGGTACCCCTCCCCTCCCCCTCACATACAGACACACGCCGAGTACACCCGGTACCCCTCCTCTCCCCTCACATACAGACACACGCCGAGTACACCCGGTACCCCTCCCCTCCCCCTCACATACAGACACACGCCGAGCACAACCGGTACCCCTCCCCCTCACATACAGACACACGCCGAGTACACCTGGTACCCCTCCCCCTCACATACAGACACACGCCGAGTACACCTGGTACCCCTCCCCCTCACATACAGACACACGCCGAGTACACCCGGTACCCCTCCCCCTCACATACAGACACACGCCGAGTACACCTGGTACCCCTCCCCTCCCCCTCACATACAGACACACGCCGAGTACACCCGGTACCCCTCCCCTCCCCCTCACATACAGACACACGCCGAGTACACCCGGTACCCCTCCCCTCCCCCTCACATACAGACACACGCCGAGTACACCCGGTACCCCTCCCCTCCCCCTCACATACAGACACACGCCGAGTACACCCGGTACCCCTCCCCTCCCCCTCACATACAGACACACGCCGAGTACACCCGGTACCCCTCCCCCTCACATACAGAAACACGCCGAGTACACCCGGTACCCCTCCCCTCCCCCTCACATACAGACACACGCCGAGTACACCCGGTACCCCTCCCCTCCCCCTCACATACAGACACACGCCGAGTACACCCGGTACCCCTCCCTCCCCCTCACATACAGACACACGCCGAGTACACCCGGTACCCCTCCCCCTCACATACAGACACACGCCGAGCACACCCGGTACCCCTCCCCTCCCCCCACATACAGACACACGCCGAGTACACCCGGTACCCCTCCCTCTCACATACAGACACACGCCGAGTTCACCCGGTACCCCTCCCCTCCACTGGCGGATCCAGGGGGGGGGGGGCCACCGGGGCCATGGCCCCCCCAAAAGCCTGAAAGGGGGGGCCAACATCTTTTGGCCCCCCCCCCAAAACGCTTGGAGAAAAATTAATGTGAGAAGGTTGCGTAGTAGATACCTACTAGAATCAGCAGCGTGATTCAATAGCGTAGAGAAAGTCAGTGGCGCGGGAACTACTTTCAGACTGGGGGAGCACACCATAATAGAGATCAACCTAGGGTCCCCCCAAATCTAGTTTTCTCACCGGTTTTAGACCACTTATTTTTCATCCCTTGGCTTTTTCAACAAAAAAAGAAACAGTTGCAAAAAAGGACGGTATTCCGTTTGAAAGTTGTGGGGGCACCGCCCCCACTGGCGGATTCAAGGGGGCCACCGGGGCCATGGGCCCAAAAAGCCTGAAAGAGGGGGCCAACATATCTTTTGGCCCCCCAAAACGCTCGAAGAAAAATTAATGTGAGAAGGTTGTGTAGTAGATACTTACTAGAATCAGCAGCGTGATTCAATAGCGTAGAGAAACCCAGGGGCGCGGGAACTACTTTTAGACGGGGGGGGGGGGGAGGTCACACCATGATAGAGATCAACCTAGGATCCCCCAAATATAGTTTTCTCGACGGTTTTAGGCCACTTATTTTTCATCCCTTGGCTTTTTCAACAAAAAAAAAAGAAAACATTTGCAAAAAGGAGCGGTATTCTGTCTGAAAGTTGTGGGGGCACCGCCCGCACGGCCCCAGAGTTGGGGGGGGGGGGGGGGGCAAGCTGCCACCACTGCCCCCTCCCCCCGGTTCCCGCGCCTATGGAGAAACTACCGGGTTTACTAGCTTCCTTCATAAAGTGTCGTCATGTCTTATCGTCACCCGAGAAGGTCTTATTGCATAAATATCGATTGAGCTGTCAAGTTAACAAACTTGCTGTGGCAGCCTGACCTGACATGACCCGGCAACTTTTCATTCACGGAATATGCGCAATAATTTTTTTAGGAAAACTCACTGAGTTTTCGTTGACAAAAAAACTTGTTTTGTTTCGTAATTGTACAAGAAGCATATGAGGGACCTTTTTGTCCCTTCCTGCGAAACGGTAAAAGACTTATTTCGGTCACAGCTCAGGCCAATCTCTAAGGGTCAGTCGGGTCACTTATTTCTAAAAAGGGTCCTTACGGCATCCAAGGACCAATTCCGGCTTTTGAGTGCGCCACATCAGCATTTGATGCTACGACAGATGTAGAAATCTGAATATATGTCACAGGCCGTATGAAAATTCGGTCCGTTTGCAAACGGCCTGGCCCAGTCAGGCCATATGAAACTACCTGAAAACACCGGCCGTTTGCAAACTATGACCTGAAATATCAGACCGTTTGAAAACGACCTAGTTAGTTTCGGCCTAGCGGATCCAGGGGGGCCACGGGGTCATGCCCCCAAGCCTGAAAGGGGAACAACATATATTTTTTGTCCCCAAAAACACTTAAGAAAAATGAATGTGAGAAGGGTGTAGTAGGTAGAGAGAAAATACCGTATCATTAAAAATCTGTGAGCTTGATAAAAGTGTTGGTCTTGTCTTCACCCAAGAAGTTCTTATTGCACACTTTAACCATGGATGAAAGAACCTTCATCCCCTGGTTCTCCTTCATCCATGCTTTAACTCTCGATCGACGTGTGAAGTTATCGTGTAAGGTATCATGAAGCCGATCGCGACGAAACTTTAGTACCCTCATGGTGACAAAGTCTGAAAATTTCATGACCCTGACCCAAGTGAACTTTGACTTGTGGCCTATTTCTCGAGACTGTTTGGCCATGTTGGAGGCCATGTTTGGCCGGAATAGCGATTCGGCGTATGTCGGCTCACATTATCCGCGCTTTTATAGTCTTTTCGTGGTTTAAAACGCTCAAACATGTGATATGATGTTGCTCCCACGCATTAGGGCGGATGCCAATGTCACCTTACGGTCAAGTCAGGTCATTGACCTTTGATGACCTCGGTGCACTTTTCCGAGTTTAACATGTTTCTAGGATAGTTTCGTTTAGCTGATTTTGAATTTAGCATTTTGCAGCCATTTGAACATTTACGAAGTAGTTTTGATGCCTTCGTATCATGTTACGTAGCTGCCAGTGGTAGTGGACACCTGCTATACGGACGCCCATAAGTGCTCCTACTGGTTGATCTGACCTGACCTGCCCCGACATGGTCTAAACGCATGAAGACATTATCTATGATCCAAACTAACATGAAATTTGTGATCAGCACAAAAAAATCTATTACAGCCTTACTTTAGGAGGTTCTGACAGGTCCTGATTTTCCCGTCTTTTGGGTCTGTGACCTGACCTGGGCGGTGTTTCACGGCACGCTGCCAGCCGCTGCCAGCGCTGATGGCACTTTTGGTTTCAATGGAGACATCAACAAGCCTATACCCACAACACTACCGAAGGCTGACCTTAGCTCGCGGAATGCGCTGTCAGCGGCTGTCAGCACGACCGTGAAACACCGCCCTGGAAGGTCAACCAATGACCAAGGACCTTAAAATCGGGTATCATCGGCTTCGTCTCGTCACTCACGGGCAACACGCCTGTTTTTTTTTTTCCGCGAGCTCTAGCTTAATCAGGGGCCGAACGGCAGGGGGTCCAACCGACACCTCCCAGCCCGCGAAGGCTGCGCCACGCACCGACCCGGAGAGGGCTAATTGGTCGACAAAAGCAATTTGAAGTGTTTTCAAAGTAATATTTAGGCTCGGGTTGGGTGGGCTACCATTTCTATTTTTTTTTTTAGTTAAAAAAAATATCGTTTCAGGGCTGTGACGAAAAAATAAGTGGCCTAAATCCGATGAGAAAACAGGATTTGGGGGTACCATAGGTTTGGTTACTTGCAGGAGTTGCCCCCCCCCAAAACGCAAGTCTGGATCCGCCAGTGCTCCCCTCCCCTCACATACAGACACACGCCGAGTACACCCGGTACCCCTCCCCTCCCCCTCACATACAGACACACGCCGAGCACACCCGGTACCCCTCCCCTCCCCCTCACATACAGACACACGCCGAGTACACCCGGTACCCCTCCCTCCCCCTCACATACAGACACACGCCGAATACACCCGGTACCCCTCCCCTCCCCCTCACATACAGACACACGCCGAGTACCCCTGCCTCTCCTGCCTCCCCTCTCATACAGACACACGCCGAGTACACCCGGTACCCCTCCCCTCACATACAGACACACGCCGAGTACACCCGGTACCCCTCCCCTCCCCCTCACATACAGACACACGCCGAGCACACCCGGTACCCCTCCCCTCCCCCTCACATACAGACACACGCCGAGTACACCCGGTACCCCTCCCCTCCCCCTCACATACAGACACACGCCGAGTACACCCGGTACCCCTCCCCTCCCCTCACATACAGACACACGCCGAGTACACCCGGTACCCCTCCCCCTCACATACAGACACACGCCGAGTACACCTGGTACCCCTCCCCCTCACATACAGACACACGCCGAGTACACCTGGTACCCCTCCCCCTCACATACAGACACACGCCGAGTACACCTGGTACCCCTCCCCCTCACATACAGACACACGCCGAGTACACCTGGTACCCCTCCCCTCCCCCTCACATACAGACACACGCCGAGTACACCCGGTACCCCTCCCCTCCCCCTCACATACAGACACACGCCGAGTACACCCGGTACCCCTCCCCTCCCCCTCACATACAGACACACGCCGAGTACACCCGGTACCCCTCCCCCTCCCCCTCACATACAGACACACGCCGAGTACACCCGGTACCCCTCCCCTCCCCCTCACATACAGACACACGCCGAGTACACCCGGTACCCCTCCCCTCCCCCTCACATACAGACACACGCCGAGTACACCCGGTACCCCTCCCCTCCCCCTCACATACAGACACACGCCGAGTACACCCGGTACCCCTCCCCTCACATACAGACACACGCCGAGTACACCCAGTACCCCTCCCCTCCCCCCACATACAGACACACGCCGAGTACACCCGGTACCCCCTGCGTTCCCTCTCACCGTCTCCCTGTTCCACTCGGAATTCGACTCCGAACAGTTGGCTGGACAGCTCCGTCAGGAAGCGCAGCGCCCCGACCAGACTGAACTGTCCGGCCGCGTCCGACTCCTCGGCGCTGCGGCGACACGGAACGGGCGGCGGCGGCGGCGGCGGGGGGGGGGGCACGTCAGACGGCGGCGGGGGGGGGGGGGCACTGGGACAGCGCGGGCGAGTACCGGTACATCAGTGGTACGCACAAACTGAACTACGCAGTGACAAACCAACCAACCATACCGTCTCACTATGAATGTGGCCGAGCTCAGTGTGTGGCCGGTCGGTGGATGTGGATGGGAGACGGCTGAGCAGCCACTGGGCGCTGAACGGTACCGCCGGCCCGGCCCCGGCCCCGGCCCCGTCACCCGGCCCGGCCCCGGCCCTGTCACCCGGCCCGGCCCCGGCCCCGTCACCCGGCCCGGCCCCGGCCCCGTCACCCGGCCGGCCCCGGCCCCGTCACCCGGCCGGAGGCCGGGGGGCGCCGGGCCGACTCTGCAGTACCTCCCGCCCCCGCTCACCTGACCGTGAGCAGTTGGTGTCCGTCCGCTCACCTGACCGTGAGCAGTTGGTGTCCGTCCGCTCACCTGACCGTGAGCAGTTGGTGTCCGTCCGCTCACCTGACCGTGAGCAGTTGGTGTCCGTCCGCTCACCTGACCGTGAGCAGTTGGTGTCCGTCCGCTCACCTGAAGGTGCTCAGTTCAGTTGGTGTCCGTCCGCTCACCTGAAGGTGCTCAGTTTGTGCCGTCGCCGCTCACCTGAAGGTGCTCAGTTCAGTTGGTGCCGTCCGCTCACCTGAAGGTGCTCAGTTTGTGCCGTCGCCGCCAGTAGGGTACGTCGCAGATCTCGAGCGGCTGCTGCTCGCCGTTGGAGCGGGCGAACGCGTTCAGTTCCTCCAGCTCTCTGTCCTGGACGGGCCGCGCTGCCGGCGGCCGGGGGCGGGGCGGGGCGGCTAACATGGCGGGGCGGGAGGGACGGCGGACGCAGTCGCCAGCGGAGACACGGCAGGCCGACGCAATGTCACCAAACACTTCATTATGCATAGTGATTGCGCTGTAAGCTGTTTCATTTGAAATAGCAACTGCATAACTTCGTACTTTACACTCAGTTTGCTGTACTTAACGTAACTAAGAAAGGTGTAAGAGGCCTAAAACGTGTAAAACAATGAATTAATCCCAAACTACTTTGCTAGCGACTGCTGCATGAAGCCAACACCGAGAGGCGGCATACAGCATCCGCCTCTGACCTCCACTATGGGTGGGTGCACCCACCGGTGGCACCCACCGGCAGCACCCACCGGCTACCACCCACCGGTAGCACCCACCGGTAGCACCCACCGGTAGCACCTACCGGCTACCACCCACCGGTAGCACCCACCCACCAGCCATACCCTCACACCGGCTATACCCACCCCCTGTCTATCACCGGCTGTCTATCTGGGACCCACCGGCTGTCTATCTGGGACCCACCGGCTGTCTATCTGGGACCCACCGGCTGTTTATCTGGGACCCACCAGCAGCCAGCAGACTGGCTATCTGGGACCCACCGGCGGCCAGCAGACTGGCTATCTGGGACCCACCAGCGGCCAGAAGACTGTCTATCTGGGACCCACCGGCGGCCAGCAGACTGGCTATCTGGGACCCACCAGCGGACAGCAGGCTGTCTATCTGGGACCCATCGGCGGCCAGCAGACTGTCTATCTGGGACCCACCGGCTGGCTATCTGGGACCCACCGGCGGCCAGCAGACTGGCTATCTGGGACCCACCAGCGGACAGCAGGCTGGCTATCTGGGACCCACCGGCGGCCAGCAGACTGGCTATCTGGGACCCACCGGCGGCCAGCAGACTGTCTATCTGGGACCCACCGGCGGCCAGCAGACTGTCTATCTGGGACCCACCGGCGGCCAGCAGACTGGCTATCATGTTCTCGACGGCCGAGACGCGGCCGGCCATCTTCACCTCCATCGTCTTATGCATGTGCGTCTTGTAGCCGAGCAGGCGCGCTATGTCGTCCCTGGACAGAGGGGAGGGGAGGGGGTGTACAGTACACACATAACACTGTGCGTCTTGTAGCCGAGCAGGCGCGCTATGTCGTCCCTGGACAGGGAGGGGGGGTGTACAGTACACTGTACCAGTGTACCACATTGTACCACATTGTACCACATTGTACTACACCGTGCGTCTTGTAGCCAGGGCCCGCATCACACGCTCTGGAGATACACCGCCTGCCACGACGCAGCAGTACACAGCGAAAGGCAGTACTGTCATCGCGCAAACACAAAACATTTTTATTTTCAATTTCAGCGATAAAAGCTAAACAAAAAAGAGTATATACCGTAGACTAAAACCTGCGGAGAAAGAAATGATTTGGCATGGTTTTATCAGTTTTGTTTGTGTAAAGAACGCCACAATAGCAGGAGAGGTATTAATCGACCCTGGCACATTCCAGTTATAACGAGGCGGATCACCGTCCGACAGTGACCCCATCTGGACAGCGGCACTGACACAGAAGGCGCTAACTAGCGGCCCGAAACCCTGGTCCGTGGAGTCTCTGACCCCGACCAGAGCCACTTACTGGCCCGGCGGAACTCCGCTCAGTAACTCCCCTGGCCCGGCGGAACTCCGCTCAGTAACTCCCCTGGCCCGGCGGGTCACCGCTCAGTAACTCCCCTGGCCCGGCGGAACTCCGCTCGGTAACTCCCCTGGCCCGGCGGCTCTCCCTGGGTAGCTCGCACACAGCGGCTCTCCTCGGAGCGACTCACTTGGCCCAACGGATCTCCTCCGAGCAGGTGCTGTTGCTGAGGTCGCGGTTGAAGTTGGAGCAGCGCATCTCGTGCGCCAGCCACACGTTGAGCCGGTGCGCGCCGCTGGGACAGTGCTCCAGGAAGGCGGTGTACACCTCGGGCTCCAGAGTGACCGTCCACGGGCCGGCGCGCGGCTCCGAGCTGCCCGACGGCGGCGGTCAGCACTCAGCGGCCGGCGGCCGACTTTACAACATTTCCATCACTGACCGGGAGGGCCACACGATGGCCTGGGACATCACCATGTCGTATCGTAGGCTTACTCTGGTTACCGGCAACAGGTCCGTTTTTCCCGCGAAGCTCTACTTCGATCAGGAGCCGAACAGACAGAGGTCCACTCAGCCCCCCCCCCCACCCCACCCCCACCCCCCACACACACACCAACACGTTAGAGGCTGTGAAAACGCAACAACGGGGCAATTAAAGCCAAGTGGCGAAAATCGACCTGGCGCCACCCACCCTCAGACACCAGTCAGTTAGGTTGATCACTCTATAGTGTCAATCTGCCTTGTCAGTCTGTAATGTCTGTCCAGTGTCAGTCTGCCTTGTCAGTCTGCAGTGTCAGGCTATAGTGTCAGTCTGCGGTGTCAGTCTGTCAGTCTGTGGACTGTCAGTCTGTCAGTCTGCGGTGTGTCAGTCTGTGGACTGTCAGTCTGTCAGTCTGTGGACTGTCAGTCTGCGGTGTGTCAGTCTGTGGTGTGTCAGTCTGTGAACTGCCAGTCTGTCAGTCTGTGGACTGTCAGTCTGTGGACTGGCAATCTGTCAGTCTGTGGACTGTCAGTCTGTGGACTGTCAGTCTGTCAGTCTGCGGTGTCAGTCTGTCAGTCTGTGAACTGCCAGTCTGTCAGTCTGAGGTGTGTCAGTCTGCCAGTCTGTCAGTCTGTGGACTGCCAGTCTGTCAGTCGGCGGCGGCGCCCACTCACGGATTGTGCGCCATCCGCTGCAGAATGTGGTCGGGGATGCCCCTGACCAGGTCGTAGTCGACCACCGGGTGGCGGAACACCTCGTCCGAGGCGCGCACACGACCTGCCGGACGGGGCAGCGCCGGTCAGCGCCGGACGGACGGCGGGTGGACGGCGGGCGCCGACTCGGCACAACGCAGCGGGCCGCGCCGCCGCCGACACCGGCCGGACCGCTCCCATCAGCTGGTACAGCAATATCTAAACGAGTTACAGAGTCCAACTGTGACGCAGGGCGTCTCAGAGCTGTCCCTCAGACATCTCAGAGCTGTCCCTCGGACATCTCAGAGCTGTCCCTCAGACATCTCAGAGCTGTCCCTCGGACATCTCAGAGCTGTCCCTCAGACATCTCAGAGCTGTCCCTCAGACATCTCAGAGCTGTCCCTCAGACATCTCAGAGCTGTCCCTCAGACATCTCAGAGCTGTCCCTCAGACATCTCAGAGCTTTCCCTCAGACATCTCAGACATCTCAGAGCTGTCCCTCAGACATCTCAGAGCTGTCCCTCAGACATCTCAGAGCTGTCCCTCAGACATCTCAGAGCCGTCCCTCAGACATCTCAGAGCTGTCCCTCAGACATCTCAGAGCTGTCCCTCAGACATCTCAGAGCTGTCCCTCAGACATCTCAGAGCTGTCCCTCAGACATCTCAGAGCTGTCCCTCAGACATCTCAGAGCTGTCCCTCAGAGCTGTCCCTCAGACATCTCAGAGCTGTCCCTCAGACATCTCAGAGCCGTCCCTCAGACATCTCAGAGCCGTCCCTCAGACATCTCAGAGCTGTCCCTCAGACATCTCAGACATCTCAGAGCTGTCCCTCAGACATCTCAGACATCTCAGAGCCGTCCCTCAGACATCTCAGAGCTGTCCCTCAGACATCTCAGAGCTGTCCCTCAGACAGGGGAAAGGTGCTGTGACAGGACGACCATCACCGGCTACATATAGCTACGGTGATGGCTACATATAGCTACGGTGATGGCTACATATAGCTACGGTGATGGCTACATAGACACTGACAGCATGATTCCATACACGTTCCGCCAGCATACAGCTCACCCACACAAAATCGTCCACTAAATGACACCAGACGCGCTCAGCAAATAAGACCGAATTCGCTCATTGAACTACCTGAAAACTCGCTCAGACAAGTACACCAAAGTCCCTCAGTAAATCACACCAAACTCACTGAGCAAATTACTGCACTCATTCGGTCCATTAAAACCAGACTCGCTCAGTAAACTACTCCAGACTCACTCAACAAATCACTGCAGATTCATTCAATAAAATACTCTAGACTCACTCGTGAATTACACCAGACTCGCTCAGTGACTCAACTCGATCAGTGACCCACACCGGGCTCGATCAGTGACTCACACCGGACTCGATCAGTGACCCACACCGGTGCCATCCGCCCGTTGGGCCGTCCCGAGCAGCCGCCCTCCGCCCGGCCTCACCAATAAAGTCGGCCTGCTCTCGGCGCAGTTTACTCGAGTGCAGTTTGAACTTGCGCAGGTCGGCGCCGCGCAGCTCCAGTCCGTTCAGCCGGCCGTCGCGGGCGTACTTTTCGACGACGCGCGTCTGCTCCTCCGAGAGCAGGTGTCGGTCCGAGAGCAGCTCCTGGCGGCCAGAGCGCCGCCCACCGACCCGTCAGCGCAGCAAACCGACCCGTCAGCGCACAGCCGCCGTGAGCGCCGAGCCGCCGTCAGCGCAGCCCACCGACCCGTCAGCGCACAGCCGACCCGTCAGCGCTGAGCCGACCGACCCGTCAGCGCAGCCTACCGACCCGTCAGCGCACAGCCGCCGTCAGCGCCGCCCACCGACCCGTCAGCGCCGCCCGCCGACCCGTCAGCGCCGAGCCGCCGTCAGCGCTGAGCCCCCCCACTGGCTTTGAGGAGGAAGGCGCTGAGCCCCCCCCCCCCCCACTGGCTCTGAGGAGGACGGCGCTGAGCCCCCCCCCCCCCCCCACACTGGCTCTGAGGAGGACGCCGCTGAGAGGCGGCCCGCGCGGCCCACACCAACACGTCAGATAGCAGCGCCTGGGAGGCACCAATGGAAGGAGGCATCGAGCGACCACCGAGGCCGACAGAGGTCCTTCCCAGCGGGGGATCAGCAGCAGCCGACTTCAGACACGGGCACAGCACCTACTGATCAGCAGCAGCCGACTTCAGACACGGGCACAGCACCTACTGATCAGCGACAGCCGACTTCAGACACGGGCACAGCACCTACTGATCAGCGACAGCCGACTTCAGACACGGGCACAGCACCTACTGATCAGCGACAGCCGACTTCAGACACGGGCACAGCACCTACTGATCAGCAGCAGCCGACTTCAGACACGGGCACAGCACCTACTGATCAGCGACAGCCGACTTCAGACACGGGCACAGCACCTACTGATCAGCGACAGCCGACTTCAGACACGGGCACAGCACCTACTGATCAGCGACAGCCGACTTCAGACACGGGCACAGCACCTACTGATCAGCAGCAGCCGACTTCAGACACGGGCACAGCACCTACTGATCAGCGACAGCCGACTTCAGACACGGGCACAGCACCTACTGATCAGTGACAGCCGACTTCAGACACGGGCACAGCACCTACTGATCAGCGACAGCCGACTTCAGACACGGGCACAGCACCTACTGATCAGCAACAGCCGACTTCAGACACGGGCACAGCACCTACTGATCAGCAGCAGCCGACTTCAGACACGGGCACAGCACCTACTGATCAGCGACAGCCGACTTCAGACACGGGCACAGCACCTACTGATCAGCGACAGCCGACTTCAGACACGGGCACAGCACCTACTGATCAGCGACAGCCGACTTCAGACACGGGCACAGCACCTACTGATCAGCGACAGCCGACTTCAGACACGGGCACAGCACCTACTGATCAGCGACAGCCGACTTCAGACACGGGCACAGCGCCTACTGATCAGCGACAGCCGACTTCAGACACGGGCACAGCACCTACTGATCAGCGACAGCCGACTTCAGACACGGGCACAGCACCTACTGATCAGCAGCAGCCGACTTCAGACACGGGCACAGCACCTACTGATCAGCAGCAGCCGACTTCAGACACGGGCACAGCACCTACTGATCAGCGACAGCCGACTTCAGACACGGGCACAGCACCTACTGATCAGCGACAGCCGACTTCAGACACGGGCACAGCACCTACTGATCAGCGACAGCCGACTTCAGACACGGGCACAGCACCTACTGATCAGCGACAGCCGACTTCAGACACGGGCACAGCACCTACTGATCAGCGACAGCCGACTTCAGACACGGGCACAGCACCTACTGATCAGCGACAGCCGACTTCAGACACGGGCACAGCACCTACTGATCAGCGACAGCCGACTTCAGACACGGGCACAGCACCTACTGATCAGCGACAGCCGACTTCAGACACGGGCACAGCACCTACTCATCAGCGACAGCCGACTTCAGACACGGGCACAGCACCTACTCAGAGTCTCACTGAACAACGACAATTATCTATCAAGAGCGAGCGAAGCGGTCTTCGAAGAACAACGTACATTTCTGAGTATATTCAGCGAACAATTGCTAAAAGTGCTACTATAGTCAGATTTTTTAAGCCTGTCTAATCGTTTAAAGCGCTCTAAATGAAAAGCCCACGTGAAGCATCCATACCTTTAAAACTGGCCTGCGGAAACATTTTATCTTAATCTTTTAGTTTCGACTCTATTCATTGCAATGGCTCGACTCGTGCACTTAGAGCGATCAGACGGGCTTGAAAAACCAGTAACTACTACCCGGATCCCCAGCAGTGTACCAAATTTTAACCTAATCGGCCCAGCCATTGTCGAGATCCGGAAACGACCCCTGCACGTGCGCACGTGCAGTTGCATCCCAACTGTGATGCATGGAAATGCATTGCCCAGTGGGCGCCTAATGGTATGACAAGATTCGGCGCAATCGGCCCAGTAATTGCCCAGTTATTGTAAAGGCAACCAGCTGGACAACCGTTCAGAGTTGGGGCTGCACTGGCCACGACGAGCAGTGGGGTCAGCCGAAAATTGAGCTTTTCTAACTTCTTAAGCAAGTGGAGCAGCTTTAAACCCCATGACTTAGCACATACCACGACAATCATCTACATAAATCAAGAGTAGTTAATTACGGCGTAGAGGGGGTCTTCTGTTGGGTAGGTAGCTCCTACCCAACAAAAAGACCGCAGGTCAATCGGTCTAGCGGTTGCTGAGATATAAGCCTCCCAAAAGCGTTACAGGCCGGGACGGGTCGGGCCGTTCATGCAGATAACTTTTTCCATTTCATTGAAAGGACTCGCTTTATGCGAACTTGTCATTATCTAGTTATGATTCTTGTCCAAATCATCGATAGCCACCCTATGTAATTCCGCCGTTTCCCGGTTCGCCCCCCCCCCCCCGTGCCTGGTCCCCCTCGCCCGGTCACCTGGCAGGCGGCGTAGATGGACGGGTTGTTGTACTTGCTGACGTGCGCCTTGGCGGCGGCGGCGTGGATCTGCTGGAAGAGGCGCGCCGGCACCAGCTGCCGGTCCACCGTGTACAGGTTCTTGACGGTGGACCACACGTAGCTGAAGGGCACCTCGCGCCGCTCGATCGGCCCCACCACCTCATCGCAGGTGAGCGGCTCGGCGCGCGCCAACAGCCGGCCCGTGTCTGCAGCGGCGGGGGGGGGGGGGGCGGTCAGACGCGGCGCGGCGGTACCACTGTCACACTGTCCGGTCGGCCGGGCCGGCATGGACCCACAGCCCCTGTGGACGGACCCACAGCCCCCTGTGGACGGACCCGTCCCACAGCCCCCTGCGGACGGACCCACAGCCCCCTGTGGACGGACCCGTCCCACAGCCCCCTGTGGACGGACCCGCCCCACAGCCCCCTGTGGACGGACCCACAGCCCCCTGTGGACGGACCTGTCCCACAGCCCCCTGTGGACGGACCCGTCCCACAGCCCACCGCTGCCGGGCGGCCGGCACGGACCGAAGGTCTCCGTGTGCACCGGCTGCGGGCCGTCAGTACTCAGCCATACCCACTGAAGGAGTGGGAGGAATACCGCAGCTCAACTCATTTAGCCAGGATACCTACAGATGTCCAAACTACATGACACCGACTACTGACTATAGAGCTCATAGGGACAACTCATATTCTGCAGAGGGATCTGTGAAGTATGTGGGTAGTGCGTACTGAGAAATAGTCAGACATGCTTTATTATCCTGTGATAAAACGAGCCAGATGGATAATTGCCGTACCTTCAAGATCATCCCCGTAGCAGGCCATGTCATACTCAAACTGGTAGGCCAGCTTGAGGACAGCATCGTGACACTTGAGAGGCGTCAGTTCCGAGTACTTTGGCGGCTGACCGGTTCTCAGAAGGCAGTTTGTCTCTGGTGTGTCCTCAGGAATCTCAGGAAAGCTAAAATACATAACATTTGTTAGTTTAAAGTAAACATGTCAGTAAGTATACACCCTAGGCTTGTCACAAGTTAACCCGCGCCGGGCCGGTGCTCCGAGATTCCGTGCCGGGCCGGGGGTGTTTGAACACCCCCTTCTAACTCGGCTCCTGGGCCACGTAGCGACACGCGGTAAGCGGTAATCGAAAGAAAGTCCAAAATAAGGACGAAAACACTCCAGTCATTTTTGGGTCAGGTCAAAGGTCAGGTCACCAGAGGTCACCAAAGGTAAAATGTTGACTATTTCAACATTTTGGAAACTGCCGACGGCTATCTCGGGAGCCGATAGAGCTATAGCGCCGCGAAAAAGCGCATTCGATAGCCCTTTTACAGACCTTTCTGGGTATTGCCCTCAGATTTGACCTCAGGTCAACGGTTTAGCCTCCAGAGGGCAAAAACTCCAAAAATAGCCGTTTTTACGAAAAGCGTTTTTCGGCAATAACTCTGGACTCAAAAGAGCCATGACATCACTTTTGCCAGCATCACGTTCCTCTCGTCGAGACGCGTCGAATAAACTATAATTTGACCTTGAAAGGTCAACTTGAGAATTTGACCTCAGGTCAAGGTCATGACCTGACCGGAAAAGGTCATGTTGCATATCAGTCGATCCGCAACGTCGAGCCGAAAACATCTAAGGCGTTTTCAGCGCTCTAGCACGCCTCTATCAGAAGTTATTAGCGAAAAACTGTTAGATTCTGTTCGTGACCTGAGATGACCTCGGGGACATAACGAGGGGTCACAGTTGCCATTTTCCGGTTCAGTGTGTCAATTTTACCTGCATCTCGATGTTTGAGAGTGTCTAGAATAGCGTTCGTGCAAAACAGACGCTTTTCAATTTTCTCCCATTGACTATGAAGAGGCCGCGAAATTGACCTGACCTTAGGTCACCGATATCAAAATTCCGAGATACCTATACATTTTATAGATAATGTTACTCTTATCCATCGCTGAGAGTTTCAAGGCAATCGATCAATCGGTGTAGCTATGGCGAGCATTCTTATTTTTTATGAATTGAGGTCACTTGGCGTGACCTGGTGACCTGACCTAAGGCGACCTGAGTCTGAAATTTTCACAACATGTGCGGAAAAGATACACGAACAGGTGTGCCAAAAACGGCGGCGCGGTCGTTTTTGAGATATCTGCGAAAAAAACGCAGGGGGGGTGTTCAAAGTAAAACACCCCCCCCCCGGCCCGGCGCGGGGTTAACCCGCGCACCGACGGGGGTCTGCGCCAACTTAGTACCGACGGGGGGGGGGGCGGATGACCGCCCCCCCCCCGGAGATCTCGAGAACGAAGCAAGATAGCGACAAGCGGTAAACGGCATCGGATACGCACGGTCAAGATCTACAATTTTTACTAAGGTCACTTTCAGGTCAGGTCAAAGATGACGTCACAGGGGTCGAAAAAGTCAAAATGGCGGCGCTAAATATGGAGAGTTTTTCTCGAATAACTTTCGAATTAGTCAAGATAGGAACAAACTAAGGGCATCATCGTGATCCTCTCGTCAATCCGCATCGAATGATATATATGTTGACCTCGAAAGGTCAACGTCAAAGGTTGACCTCAGGTCACGTGACCTCGAGGTCATCATGTATATCATTCGATGCGTCTTGACGAGCTGAACACAATGAGACCATCCACGCGTCTGTATCTTGTTCCTGTACGGAGTTATTGGCCAAAAACCTTTGGTGACCTTTGATGACGTCACATGACCTCACAGCTGCCCAACAGCAAAACAGACCTCAAGGTAGTGAAGGTTGATCGTATATGAAGTCATGTATGGTATATGGGGCCATTCCGACCCGTTTTAGTGGTAAAAACAGGGAGTTGATTTTTCCCCCATTGACTTATAATGGGGAGGTCGCGAAATTAACCTGACCTTAGGTCACCGATATCAAAATTCCGAGATATACAAATTGTAGCTACTAATGACCTAATAACATCCTGCGACTTTCAAAGGCCTCCGACATCTACTGTAGCTCTGGCACGGTGACAAAGTTGCAAAAAAGTGACTTGAGGTTGGGTCATTCAAAGTGACCTGGTGACCTGACCTTGAAAGGTAGGAGGTTCAAACTTGCACACCATGTGTAAAATTGATAAGGGAATAGTCATACCAAATTTCGCGGCGCGTAGCGCCGCGGTTTTCCCGCTATTCGCGAAAAACCTCAGGGGGGGCGGATATCCGCCCCCCCCGTCGGTGCGCGGGTTAAACAAGCTTCATTACTGAGATATGACTTGAGTGTCATGATTGTAATATATGTAATATATGTAATATTTGTACTTATCCTCTTGAACAACTCCGAAAAAACATAAACATTAATTAAGCTTCATTACTGTTATCTGTACTTTATTAGATCATGATATACTATTGCACTATGTCTTCATCCAGTACCCAATGATATAAATTTGACACCATCAATCACAATACCATTTTGGTCATACACAAGCAATGCAATGCGGATTCGCCACCACATCCAATGGACCCAGTGCTAATTGGGACTCGCACTCTGCCACATCCAATGGACCCAGTGCTAATTGGGACTCGCACTCTGCAAGGCAGCCAGGCAGCGGCAGTGCCGCGTGCATTGCACGGGAATTGAGCCCGGATGGCTCAATCTATAGGCAAGTAACTTGCTCACAGAGCAGAATGCTCCCCGGTCATAGACAACGATATCACCTCCACCTCATGGTCAGGCATGGCGCCCCTGCCTGTAGTACCTCAAACCTTGGTAGGTGAACTGGAATGTGAAGTCATTACCCATAGCACTTCTTTTTTGGAATATTGTTTGCTAGCTGCATGCATAGACTAGATTGACTCCCTTCTGGTGAAAATCAAGCTCCATTCAGCATTTATCACTCCAATGATTTCAATTAGGTATTTATTCATATTAACCCTCGCCCGCACATGCCATTTTCCCATCCTAGAACGCACATGGGGGGGGGGGTACCATCCCCCCCACGCCATTTCGTTCCTGTTGGAGATAGAGCTTCACGGTAAAAACCAAAAGATTCTTTGGGAAGAGACGAATCCAATGGTACCCAATTTTACCTCATTAGGTCCATCATTGACCTTCCAGGTCAGGTCAAACTAAAAATGTTGCTGTTTGGGGCCACCGTCGGAATATCACGTGCGGTGCCCATCATATACCGATGGCGCTGCCATTTGTGGTGCCAAGCCAGCTAGAACAGCTCTTTGTCACACTATCCGACTAGGTTTTTAACGGATGTGGTCATTTCAGGTCAAGCTAGGCCAAGGTCAATGATATGTGCTTGTATGTTTGTGTGTCTGCGTGCACTGCATACTGATGTGTGCACCGAAAGATTTGTGTGCCCCTATTACATGAGATCATGATCTGAGAAGCTTTTACCAAAATGCAGTCAAAAAACTTCACGAAAACTGAAAAGTAAATTCAGCAAGCCTAAACTGCAATGTTTTTAGATGACCTAGGTTGACCTTGACCCTGAGATCTGCACATCGTCGAATAACGTGTTCCATGATAGGTGGGAGGTAAGACTAGCAAAAACATACCGAAATCAAGGTGCCAAAAGCTCACAAGACCCATAGCCAACGCAAGATGTTGAGGATTGGTCATTTGGGTCATGACATGACCTGAAAAAAACAAGGTCATACCTCCGAAACCAAAAACCACAGAAATCTGAAATTTTCAGTGGACATCAAGAAAGGAAAATGTTGGAAAATGTTGAGTGCAGAGCAGAAAAACTACCTGGGGCCTGGGGGGGGGGGGGGTGGCAACCCCCCATGTGCGGTTGAGGGTTAAGAATGGCAAGATGACAGATTTCTTTTTGGACAAAACTCGGTCATTTCTTTCTTTTCCACTCTTTTAAAACTGAAGAAATTCACAAAACAAAATCATGAAAAGAAAAACACATCCTTCTTAAGTAGAAAAGTGAGATCACACATAGATACTTGATACTTTTTACACAAAAAATTTATAAGTTACACCCAACCACTCATTAAGATGGGTAAGGTTACATGGTAGGGTAACTGTGGGGAAAACGCACCCCTGGGTTAAACGCCTCCCCTAAAAAAAATCGTAGATCTTATCGGCGGATAGGTGTTTTATCCTGTCTTTCAGAACAGTCAGCTGCTTGTTTACGTAGTTCTCTATTTCCGGTTCTGTGTCTTGGGGAGCAGCGTGCAGGTAGGTGCTGATGTTGGTTTTGGGTGTTGTTTTTGTTGTTTTTACAGAAGATTCCTAAGCTTTTGATGCCTTTTTTATTTCACAAAACTTGCTATTGTGCACATCACTCAAAACTGCGTTTTATTGTCATTCTGTTGAATTTATTATGCTGTGGCGTTAGTGGCGCGTTTTTTGTCAATATTTTGTTGACCGGAAATGGAGTGGATGGGGAAAGACGCCTACTCGATGCATGGGGCAAGACGCCTCCAGTTTTCTGAAAGGGGGGCGTTTTGCACGGTGGTGAGAGTGCAGGGTAGCGCCCTGTAGGTCGGGGCCGAAAAGGCCTCTCCCTGTCCTTTTTTGCTGATATACATCCTAAACGACTGCAGATATCGTCACCAAACTTTCAGGACTCCTCCGGGCATCCATTTTACACATTGCAACAACATTTTATTCCAAAGGCTATGATAGGTTGACCACAAATGACGTCAGAATGACGTCAAGTTCTGCCATGTTCATCATTTTCTCTGTTGATGGATGGGGTGGGGGCGCTTTGCACATGGGTGTGGGCGTATTACCCAGGGTGTGGGGCAAAACGCCCTTTTGTAAGGGTATGCGGAAACCTTTTTTGGGGGTTAAATACCACACGCAAGTGTCTTTTCTTGGTCTCAAAGCGCAGTAAAAAGAATGAGCTACATGATGGTGCCCAAAGGTTTGAGTAATCTGGGTTGGGTTGAGTGTCAGAAGGTTTCGCGCTTACTGGGGGCGTTTTTGACCTATTCACCCTACCTACAGGGTGATTTTTTTACTTGTTAAAAAGTAATGAGGTTTAGTAGCGTCAAAATGTAAATACCTATATATTGTAAAATTATATACCAGCATGACGAGCATTCTGGGACATTTTGATTTCATGCAGACACGATGTGAAGGAACGTCCATCGTGTATTTTACTTGTGCTTGAAGTTACCCCCTCTCTCACCGACACGAATCAGCCCGCCTGAGCACGTGTTGAACAGCACCATGGACTCCCATGCTCATTAGGCGGACTGAAAAGGTTCCTATCACCCATTTTCAGCTCTGTCAGATATTTCCAATGTTTTCTTGTTATATCTGCCATACCTGGGTCCAAAAACTAGAAGTCTAGAAAGGGCAGGTCGAGGATTTTGCTACTGGCGGCCCTGGTGGTGTCTGATTCGCTGTTTTTGTTTCTCCCTGAAGACTGATTCTTCAGAGGATGCACATACGCCAGATGGACCGTTTGAAGGTTATTTATGACTACAAGCTTGTTCGTGCATTATTTAAAGGTAGACTGCCACCTTTTTTTCACAAAACGGTTTTCACTAGAGCTGAGCCACCTATGTCCCAGACTGAAGTCGGTTTTCCGAAATTCGAACCCGTTTGCGAGAAATCGAAGACCAAAGTTCAGTTTGATGCCATTTTTTTAGTCCAAGAAAACCGACATCTCTACTGTTTATCGATAACTTTGAAACATGAATTTTCTTATCTTTTGGCAAATATATGTCAAAACTTTGATTGTTTCGAGATCAGAGAAGAATTTTGGAGTGTCAAAATAAAAGTTAAACTTATATATTCAGTAGTTCATTTTTTCAAAAAAGTGTGGGAAATGGGGTTTAACATGGGCCAGACCCATTCCAAATAAAGCCATGATTTTTAAATGTTTTACGAAGTTAAATGCAAAATAAATTAAACATGGCCAATTTCTTATGAAATCATATATTAGTAAATCATAAAATACCTTACTTTTTCAAATAAAATGTAATAATCTTATGACCTTGAAGTCTAGTGATGTGTAAACATTGTCGCTAGACATTAACCGATTGATAATTGTATAATAATCGACAATTTTTTCGCGATTCACGTGATGATACTTTGTCAGGTGAATTCTAAAATTTTGTTTTGTCCAGGGAATAAATCATAGACCGATCTGAGAAAACTTTTTGAAGGTGGCAGTCTTCCTTTAACGTCTTTCTGAGGTATCCCCTTGATGATCGTATGCTTCGAACTGCCTCAATGCTTCAAAATCATCGTTTTGTGTCGTTCCTTACTGAACGGCGGTGGACCATGCGTGCCCGATTGGTGGGACATTTTCAGGCTCCACTGGGGCCGAGGCCTTCGGTTAAAAGGGACAAATCATTACACCATACAAAATGTCCCAGATTTATCTATCACGTGCATTGCTTTTTTGCACAAGATTTTTCGATTTAGGGACCACCATTGACGTTTACTTTTTAACAGTTAAAAAAAAATCACCCTGTACATATATAAGTAGATTTAGGTTGTAGGTTAGGTTGTAGCCTGTAGGGCAGGTTGTAGGTTGTAGGTTGGTAGGTTGAAAGTTGGTAGGTTGAAGGTTGGTAGGTTGAAGGTTGGTAGGTTGAAGGTTGGTAGGTTGAAGGTTGGTAGGTTGAAGGTTGGTAGGTTGAAGGTTGGTAGGTTGAAGGTTGGTAGGTTGAAGGTTGGTAGGTTGAAGGTTGGTAGGCTGAAAGCCGAAGGGGTATCGGTAACCCTGGCGTCACCGGTAATGTTTTCGTTCAAGGTTAGGTTTCCTGTATTAGGCCGCCGTGCCAGGCCGAAGCATGCTGTGACGTCACTGGAAGAGAAGATAACGTACTACGCTATCAGTATCGACTGAGACTCAGATAGACTCAGACCGACTCAGGACGACTCAAACTGACTCATCGACTTAAATATTCTGATCGACTCGGACAGACTCACGACTCAGGCACTAGGCAGACTCGAACCGACTCAGGCAGACTCAAGCTCACTCGACCGACTCAAACCGATTCAGATCGACTCAGACCGACTCAAACTAACTCAGACCGACTCATCCGACTCAAATCGATTCCGATCGACTCAATTCGATTCCGATAGACTCAGACAGACTCAGAACGACTCAGAGAGACTCAGGCAGACCCAGACCGATTCAGATCGACTCAGACTGACTCAGACCGACTCAACCGACTCAAATCGATTCCGATCGACTCAGACAGACTCAGAACGACTCAGGCAGACTCAAACTGACTCGACCGACTCAAACCGATTCAGATCAAACTGACTCAGATCAACTCAACCGACTCAAATCGATTCCGATCGACTCAGATAGACTTGGAACGACTCTAACAGACTCAGGCAGACTCAAACTGACTCGACCGACTCAAACCGATTCAGATCGACTCAGACTGACTCAGCTAGACTCAGAAAGACTCAAACTGACTTAGACCAAATCAACCGACTCAGATCGATTCCAGTCGACTCAGACAGACTCACGCAGACCCAAGCCGACTCAACCAACTGAAACCGATTCAGACCGACTCACACAGACCCATCGGTTTGACCTGAATCATCAGACCTGAATCGGTTTGAGTCGGTCAAGTCAGTTTGAGTGTGCCTGAGTCAGTTTGAGTCTGTCTGAGGCTGTCTGAGTCGTTCTGAGTTTGTCTGAGTCGATCGGAATCGATTTGAGTCGGCTGAGTCAGTCTGAGTCAGTTTGAGTTGTTCTGAGTCTACCTGAGTCGGTTTGAGTCTGCCTGAGTCAGTTTGAGTGTCTGAGTCTGTCTGAGTCGTTCTGAGTCGATCAGAACGATTTGAGCCGGTTGAGTCGTTCTGGGTCAGTTTGAGTTGTGCTGACTTGAGTCTATCTAAGTTGGTCTGAGTCTGCCTGAGTCGATCGGAATCGATTTGAGTCGGTTGAGTCGGTCTGAGTTAGTTTGAGTCAGTCTGAGTCGATCTGAATCAGTTTGAGTCAGTCGAGTCAGTTTAAGTCTGCCTGAGTCGGTTTGAGTCTGCCTGAGTCATTCTTTACGTTATCTTCTCTTACCCAGTGACGTCACAGCATGCTTCGGCCTGGCACGGCGGCCTAATACAGGAAACCTTGACCTTGAATGAAAACGCTACCGGTGACGTCAGGGTTACCGATTCCGGTTGAAGGTTGGTAGGTTGTAGGTTGGTTGGTTGTAGGTTGGTAGGTTCAAAGGTTGCAGGTTAGTAAGGTTAGGTGAGGTTAGATTAGGTCTTTTATTTACGCTTGCATTGTACCTGATTTTTTAAACCATGTAATGATTGTATGACAAATTTTCTAGGTTGATAAATGGGTAATGGTTATTGACAATATCAATATGGTTTGGTTTTTATTCAATTTTGAGCCCAGGGTGCAAAAGAGATTTCACTGAAAACTCAGCAGATTTCACATTCACAACCAGCCTTACTGTCAGAAAATTGATATTAGCACAATGAAGTAGAAACCTCTCTAAAAATGGCAATCCTTAGAAGAAAAATGTTCAAAAGGGACAGGACTCACAGCACATAAGTACTTATCCTCCTCAGGGGATTTGTCTTGTAAAAACGTAGCGCCGACAGCATTTTTCTCCTATTGATATACAATGTCACAAAATCTTAGATGTCTTCATTTAACACAATCGAACGAAATAATGCAGAACAAGCGGCTGTAAAACCTCCATCAAACTCTGTGTAACGAAGCAACGAATATGGGCGCAGCCATCTTTGATAGGTGATGTAACGATAGTGACTAAAATGCTGCCAAGTAGGCGGAGGTAAAGATCTGGAAGACGGAGCCCGTTGCAGTCAAGGGCGGATCCAGGGGGGGGGGCATAGGGGCCATGCCCCCAGGGGCGTCGCCACGGATTTTTGACTGGGGGGGACGGATTGGCTGACTAAAAACCCAAAAGTTAGTTAGTTTACCGTACAATTTCAGGCCTATGCACTACTTGTAACGCCTACACAATGCACATGTTCTCATGTTCTCGCGTGGAGGCGTTATTAGTCACACTCTTTTGTACCTGTGCATGAATTGGCGGCGCGAAGCGCCGCGAAAATTGGCAAAAACTCTTGGCAAAACAGTCCCAAAACGCATAAATTTTGCATCCCGCGTAATAGTTTGATACCAGGACATTTAGGGTCTGGTCACCAAGTCCAGCAGCCCTGCCTCTAAAAAATCGTGTGGTCCTCTGTAAACCGCTGTCAACCATAGGTACAGCTTTTTTCCAACTTCTGTGCAGTGTAGCTGCAGGACTGCGGGGTCGGAGTCGACTTCGGTGACGGTTGTGGTCGGATACGGAGTTGGAGTCACCAAAATCGTAACAGACTTCAACTCTGAAGTCAGAGTCAACGTCATCCCCGAGGATGGGTCGAATAAGAGCTGGAGATTCTGTTGGCTGTGGTGATTGTAGGGGTCATGGTAAGACCAATGTAGGGGCATACTGAGCATTACGTCCTCCTGGGCTCTCTCAGACCAGGACGAGGTCCTCTCACCCTCAAGCATCAAGCGTTCAAAGGCCATGGTGAGACCTTCTGCTGTCGGATGGCCTCGAACGGGAAGAGGGCCGTTTGAGAGTGAGCTGAAGGTCTTGACTATTACGAATATCCTATGTAAAATGTGTGGTCTCTGCAAGCTGTAGTCCTACTGCACTCTGAGACTTTGGGACAGGTCTTCAGCCCTTGTTGGATATGGTCGCCCCTACAACTGGAGCTTTGGCTCCCTATCGAGGACCTGGGACGGACAGTCCAGAGCTGCACCTCGTAGGCAATGCTATCTTTTAATGTGCCAAGAAACGTTCAAAGAGACAAAAGCATCACATCACATGTTTTTTTCACTCCGATGCGGGCCGAGGGATGCCGTGGTCGGAGATGGGGTGGGGACTCCGAGCGTTTCTTTTTTTTTTAAGCCGGAGTCGGAGTTACCAAAATCATCTACTCCGCAGCCCTGTAAGCAAGGGTACAGTGTCAGCAATTCGCAGATTCAATTTGTATACGAGTAGGTATCCGCAAATTCATCCCAAAACGACAATACACCAATGTCGTAGGTCACTTTTTAAATCATTCATGGGGATATTTTTGCGGGGGACGTCCCCCCGGATTCCTCGACTGGGGGTGACGCGTCCCCCCCCGGTTTCGACGCCCATGAGAATTACTGAGTTGCTGCAAAATGTAGTGAAAAAACTTGTTCGGTAAAGGATTACTTCTTTTTTTTTCCGCAGCATGACAGGTAACTGAGAAAAAGCAGCTCGAAAACTTCGATTGACATTCAATTTGAGGAGGGGATAATCCCCCCCACCCTCACTCCAGGGGGGGACGGTGTCCCCCCCATCCCCCCCTGTGGCGACGCCCATGCATGCCCCCCTTGGCTCTGAAAGGGGGGTCAACATATCTTTTGGCCCCCTTTCATCCGTGCTGTTTCTCACAGCCGGCTAATTTCTCAGAATTATTTTCACCATTTCCATCGACGCTAAGGCCGAACAACTTTTTTGTTATTAATATGATCAGGGATTTACGCACGAACATTTTTTTTTGGGCGTGCTGGCAGCCAGCTTATGCAGCACACTGCACAGACAGCTTGATTTTCGACTATGCCCGTTTGGCTGTAACTGCAAGGCGCCGAGGTTGGCCGCCGAATTCCATTTGTCTATGTCCTGCTGGAAGGTAGCCCAAAGATCCTCGCTCAGGATTACGCCCGGTCCGGATGGTAGCCGGTTATTTCTTCAAAACTCCGGCAGGCTCGATTGACGCAACCACCTGGACCTTGGTAGAGCAATAAGCTGGCGCGCCGTCCTCCATGAAATTGCATGTTGACCTTCCATCGACCGTCGAGGCCATGCGTCGACTCAGAACTGATCGGCTGAAGGCTACTGGACCGTGCAATCTTTCCCAAAATCTTTTTTCCAAAATCTTTTTATCCCTTAGGGGTAGAAATGATTAGAAACCGGATAAGTGTTGCCCTAGGTAGAGGACAAAACTTTTGCCGGACCCTGCATAAAACCACCTTGCAGTTTCCCTTCAATCGGCTTTGATCCAGCGGAAATAGTCACGCATTAACCTCTCTCCTTAACCCGCGCCAGGCCGCGGTCCTCGGTGCCAACCGCTCCGGGCCGGTGGGTGTCTGAACTGGTCTGAACACCCCTCTCCTTCTTACTCGGCTCCTGGGCCACGTAGTGACACGTGGCAAGCGGCATTCGAAAGACCTTCGAAAATCAAGACGAAAGCAGTCATTTTTTAAGTCTGGTGACCAGCCCAGCTAACAATTTGCCGTTGTTACAACGTCGTTTAAACTTTAACCCGCGCACCGACGGGGGGCGGATATCCGCCCCCCCCCTGAGGTTTTTCGCGAATAGCGGGAAAACCGCGGTGCGTAGCGCCGCGAAATTTGGTATGACTATAACCTCATCAATTTTACACATGTTGTGCAAGTTTGAATCTCCTACCTTTTAAGGTCAGGTCACCAGGTCACTTTGAATGACCCAACCTCAAGTCACTTTTTTGCAACTTTGTCACCGTGTTAGAGCTATAGTAGATGTCGGAGACCTTTGAAAGTCGCAGGATATTATTAGGTCATTAGTAGCTACAATTTGTATATCTCGGAATTTTGATGTCGGTGACCTAAGGTCAGGTCAATTTCGCGACCTCCCCATTATAAGTCAATGGGGGAAGAATCAACTCCCTGTTTTTCAGGGTTGGCATTTTTGCCGGCAAAAACTAGTTTATGCCATTTGCCGGTTAAAACCGGTTTTAACCGGCAAAAAGTGGCAAAAACTGGCAAAAACTCAGAATATCACAATGCTATGCCTAGACATGATTTTGAACAGGAAACATTTTAAGGAGAATTCGGTGAAAGCTTTATGCTTTCAAACAGAAGTGACATTGACCATTGAAATGTTTCATACCTAACTCAGAAACATTTTCATGGGCTATCCATAAGGAGCTAGTAAGATGTCTTTTGGGGGTAATAAATGAGCCAATGCAAGGGTGACTGGGTGAGTCCTGCACAATCAGAAAAGCGAAGAGGCATCTGCCATTGATATGCGCACGGCACCGCATGACACCCTACTTACCGAGGCCGCCTTGTCCCACTCTCCCCTTACATGGAAATACATTCCGTTGTGGATGTCTACCGACATGCATAATTGCATAGACATTTTAAGCAGGGATAAGTAATGAGGCAACTTCAGAATGTTAAGTGCATCTATATAGCTACCAGAAATGCATTAAATGCATTTCTGTACATTTCAAATCCATTCCTAACTAGAAAAGTTAAAGGTTTGGCCATCTGATTTTTTGCCAGTTTTCGCCAGTTTTTGCCACCAGGGTTTCTGCCAGCCGGTTTAAACCGGTTAAAACCACTGGCAAAAACCAGTTTTTGCCACCCCCTGCCAACCCTGCTGTTTTTACCACTAAAACGGGTCTGAATGGCCCCATATACCATACATGACTTCATATACGATCAACCTTCACTACCTTGAGGTCTGTTTTGCTGTTGGGCAGCTGTGAGGTCATGTGACGTCATCAAAGGTCACCAAAGGTTTTTGGCCAATAACTCCGTACAGGAACAAGATACAGACGCGTGGATGGTCTCATTGTGTTCAGCTCGTCAAGACGCATCGAATGATATACATGATGACCTCGAGGTCACGTGACCTGAGGTCAACCTTTGACCTTGACCTTTCGAGGTCAACATATATATCATTCGATGCGGATTGACGAGAGGATCACGATGATGCCCTTAGTTTGTTCCTATCTTGACTAATTCGAAAGTTATTCGAGAAAAACTCTCTCCATATCTAGTGCCGCCATTTTGACTTTTTCGACCCCTGTGACGTCATCTTTGACCTGACCTGAAAATGACCTTTGTAAAAATTGTAGATCTTGGCCGTGCGTATCCGATGCCGTTTACCGCTTGTCGCTATCTTGCTTCGTTCTCGAGATCTCAGGGGGGGCGGTCATCCGCCCCCCCCCCGTCGGTGCGAAGTTGGCGCAGACCCCCGTCGGTGCGCGGGTTAAACGTTGTCAAATGGTTACCACAACGTTCCGATTTATCGTTGTGACAACGTAATTTTGTAGACTCCAGAGAACGGCGTGACAACGTCATCCGACCATGCATTTGAATGTCATCACAACGTTTCTGTAACGTGGCCGTGACGTCCCAAAACCGTTCTTACAACGTCCCGCCAACGTTATGAAATGTTTTCTGTAACGTGCCAACAGTGTTTCTGGAACGTTGTCACCACGTTTCCGCAACGTGACTACAAGGGGTATAGAACGCTTTGGCAACGTCTCTGCGACGTTTTTATCACGTACGCACCACGTTGTCGCTACTTCGTATTGCCGTCCCTGCGACCCTGAGTATACGTCCTAAACATTTTCGCAACGTCCTCTCAACGTGTTCGCAACATACTCAGAATGTGTTTCAGACGCTCTCTTCCCGTTCTCTAGACTTGTAAAAAAGGCATGTAAGAAGTGTATATTTCAATACATCACACAGGTCAATTTACAAAAAAAAAAAAAAAAAAACGACAGCGGCGGCATCGGTGATGGGGCATGGGGCCCAGGGGCGCCCCCATGGGGGCGTGGGACGGAATTGGGTTCTACCGGCTCTAGCGCTAGCCGCTAGCACGCCAGAACTGGTGGAAGTTGACTTCTTCACTAACCCTCGCTGGGAGGATCACTCGGCGGACCGTTAGGCACCGGC